CTAGGCGAAGCATCGCTAAGAATTATACAAGCTTCTACAGAAACCCAAACCCAAACAAACACGCGCACACACAGACACACAAACACACACAGACACACACAGACACACACAGACACACACAGACACACACAGACACACACAGACACACAGAGACACACAGAGACACACAGAGACACAGACACAGACACAGACACAGACACAGACACAGACACAGACACAGACACAGACACAGACACAGACACAGACACAGACACAGACACAGACACAGACACAGACACAGACACAGACACAGACACAGACACAGACACAGACACAGACACAGACACAGACACAGACACAGACACAGACACAGACACAGACACAGACACAGACACACATACACAATCACAAAAACAAACACAACCACAAGCGCAACTACAAGCCGGCAAACCCATGCACGCACGCACGCTCACACCCACCCAAAGAAACAGACAGACACACGGACACACAGACACACAGACACCACTCACACACACACACACACTGACGCACCCATATACACACAGAAACACACACACAAACACTCACAAAGACACGGGGACCTATAGACCTCCATGCACGCATGCGCACAACCCATAAACCTGCGGGTGCTAAATCCGTCGACCTGGCACCACTCACACTGCGCGCAGCACACAATCCACGCACATGTGTGCAAAACACACAATCATTCATAATCATTCATGGCATGATTTCTCGCCGAATCACACATGGAGGTCACGGGAGAAACGGCAGGGGGCGATGACGGTTCGAGAGTAGACTTTGTGTCATCACAAGACGAAGTCGACACGTCCTGACCGTGGGATGATGTCTTGGAGGGCAGGGGCCTGTACCTGCATTGCTGCAAAAGAGTTAGTCTCCAAATAGGGGGAGCTCCACCCTTTAAACCAATCCCAACAGGGTGCACCTAAAATAGGCACGCCCATGAGCATTCATCCAGTTCAAAACGGAACCACCAGGCGTTGTTGTGGGAGTTTGCCATCGACTTCAAATGTCAATGGTCCAAATGGTCTACCAGCGCGCTTTGCGCTTGCAGGGGGCCGACCTGGCGCCGCAAGGCACATGCCGAACCGATGAACTGCCGCTGCCTGCCATATCAACAATATAGGGGGCCTGCAGCAAACAAAACTATGAACGGATGGCTTGCTCTCTATCAACACATCATTGTCGGGATGTGGCGCAAGAGTGGATGTGTCTACAGGGCAAGCGCCGTGCACGATTCTAACACATGCACAAAGCTTGGTAAGCTTGCCGTTCTGTGGCAGGCGCTGTTTTCACAACACACTGCTTACATGTAGCCCTCGGGCCACAGCCAAACTCTCTCATCCGCAGCCAGTCCTCTTCCTCCTGAGCCAAGCTGTCCTCATGCACTTTGTAGATAGCCATGACCTGCATGTCTGCTTCTTTGTTGCCCCCCTCCTACCGCCACAAGCAGTTCCATGCGCTCAGATGTGGGGAGGGGACCCTTTGTTTGTTACTCGATGGTTCAGGGAAACCCTTCTTTGAAGAAACAAAACGTTCGGAAAAGGGTGCCACTGGGCAGTCATTGCGCTTTCCTATTGTCGGCGGACAACATCAATTTCGCGCCGGCTGGAATGGTTTAACATCCCTACGCATGTGATAAAACGACCCAAACTAGAATGGGGGGTTGGGCTGCCAAAGAAAAATACGTCATAACCATAGGAAAATCAAATTACTCTCTGGTCCATAATCTGCAACCCCACCCAAACAAAGCTTGTTGTAGTTCTAAGATTATGGAAGGGAGTGTAGTTGCTGAGCCCCTTGTGTCGCCAAGTGGTTGTTTCGCCTGCTCGAACTCCTCCTGCATCAAGAGCCGCCCAAGCTTTCGTCGTAGGCGCTGGCCGACTCGCCGGCGAAGCGCCTGGCCAAACCGAGTTCAACCCATCCCGGGTTCAAGCACCTCCTAGGGGATGGCTTCTAGGTACAAAGGAGTCTAAGTACTTGGAAGGTACTTGGACCCTCTGGGCATGGGATTTCCGAGCGCACGTAGTTTGTGAGGGAACTGGACATATCCATAAGTTGGCAGAACCAACACGTCGTACGGGTGCAACCCCACACCAAAATACAAGTGGATACCCTGACGATTGGCTGGTAAAGCCAGTTTAATTGTGGATATGGAAGTGCGACCAGCCAAATACCACTGATAGAATCAGCCAACATGTGCTGGACATGACAAACAAAACTTTTCGCTGTGCGCACTATCTCGAGTCACCCGAAGCAGCAGGGACACCCTCGCTTCTTGCAATGCGCTCATGAGGAGTCGCAACTCTCTTCTGTATTGACCCAAATGATAGCACTGGTTAAGCCTGGATGATTCAATCATTTCGAGAAGCTTTCTGCAGTCAGACTTGCAACAATACATGCTCTCGAGAAGAGAATAACTACACATCAGTCACACAGGTTGTAAGCCCGCTGAATAATACAATGTACTACAACTACGTGCCCATTTCTGAACGAGGATAATTGCAGGATGCATGCAAGGCCTACTCCAAAACAACACTCAGACATACACACGCTGATCATGATAGCCCCATTCAGCCAGCCAAAACTGTGGGCAAGCGCATGTGCTCTAAACTGAAGGCTTGGAATTATCGAAAGTGAGTGAGCCAGTTGACAAATCCTGTAAACACTGCCAAACGTGTTCCTGCACTCCAGTCACCATCAACACCAACATAATAATATGTCGCGTCCCACACAACCTCCACCCCCACCACGACATTAAATCAGGAACAACCAACCCCAGTTCTGGCAGTGGGGTCATACAACTAATCCATTCACCAAGTCGGTTGAACATCTGAGTGAAAGTAATCGTGCTGGTGTGTGTGTGAACACGTGGGCGGGGTCTAAGCATAGCCTTTGACACCCCAAGTCAGCCGGTCAAACCGCAAATACCCGAAGTCCCCAGTGACACCGGCGGAAAAGGGAATCTTTTTAGAGCTGGACCATTGCTACCGGGGGAATGCACCAAAAAAAGAAAAAAGGGTACCACTGAACAACTGGTCTCAGGTTCTGTGTCGATTTATGGCAACGCTGGCTAGCCACATCAACTTGTAATGCAGGACATGCTTGTTTGCATGCATACTGGGCTCCAACAATCACAAAGCTGTACTCGAGCAACGAACACACATGGTGATGTTCCTTGCTACACAAACGCCTCGCCACCTTCAGCAATCATTTGGCAATCTCCAAAAACTTAGAACGCACAATTCCTATAGGTTCAATTGGTTGTCTTTAATCTGTTGCCTCCGCCAACGCCAAAGAAAGCCCTGCAACCCTTCCGGCCCGCCTTACAATCGGTTTCATGGATAGCTTGAACTGCGGAGGAAACCATATGGCAAGCCTGGGCGTGGATAGGGAAAGGCTGCCGACTGGCAAAAAAAGGCAGCACGAACCACCGGGCCATGCCGAGACAACATCAAAGTTTGGATCTGTGGTGAAACAATGCTAGGAAGCGAATCATGCGATCGTCCCCCCCCATTTTGCAAGATTGCAAACATCACCCCATCTGAGGGCTTTCCCAAAACACTGCGCAAATGCTAGACACCTGACAAGAAAACAACAAGCGAGTAGCTTGCAAAAAGCGTGCGCATTCTTAATAGAAAAAAGGGCCTGCCAGTGGCAATGCACTTCACCTGTCTTGCCGCTGTGTGCTGTCCTTCGCCAAATGCAACCGGGCAAGCAAGTCAGCCTGACAACAAGACTCTGAGAGTATTGACCCAAAGGGTACTGTGTATGGATACGTAATCATATAGTGTATATATATATATGTATACACTTACATGTACCACAATTACTGGCAGCTTGTTTCCAGACATGACTATTCCACACACACACACACACCAAACAATCAGAAGGCTCCATCATATCCGGCTTGTTGTAATCTCTGAAGTTGTATCTAGCTCTAGCCACAGGATGTTCAACCCCTCCCATGACACTGAGATGCACTGCTGATGCGGGCTGGATAGCCTTGGCACTGCAAAGCAAGTTACCACAATAATCAAGGCGTGACTTGCAAGATGGCCAGGCTCAATTCTGAAGCAAGCAAGGGACGGGCGCCGAATCTGATGTCGGGCAAGAACAAGCAAACCCAGAATCCCCAGCCAAATCTGGCTACCACAAGGGCATTTGTTGTCACCAAGCACGGACATCCATGAATTACTTCAAACCGTGAAGGCCGCAACTGCTCCCAAAAATCTTCGCCCGCGCCCTGCCTTGCTCTGCAGGAGCCGAATCTCGTTGGACCCTCGAGTAGGGCAGAACTGTATCTCCATCTCAGTCATGGCATCCATGGCCATTGCTGCGTGGTGGATATGAGCGATACCTCGTGACTGCGAGCAATAGCAAAGCAGCTGAGCCAAGGGAGGCAATGTGCGACTCGACTGACGGCCGTGAAAATCCTTACTCAACCGCTGACTGAAGAAGGCCGGCGTCTGAAATTTGCAACGCGCTTCAACGGCTTGGTTGCCCGAGAGTGTCCTTTTCATCAACAAACCAACCCTTCTTCAGAATCAGCATGTAAGGTCGCAGGGCAGCTATGCAAGTGTTCCGTTGCAACCACGAGACAGGCATAGATCTGCAACGCCGCTGAGGCTCTGATTCTACAGCAGGGGGTGCTGAAGAAGCAACTGCCACAATAGACAATTAGCTGATACAAGTGATACAAGGCAAAAGAAGTCGAACAAAGCAAGATTCTACCAGCAAGAAAGTCTCCGGGCTTGGTGAACTGGGGCTTTCTACCCTTGTGGCTTTGTCAAGGTTTAGCATCCTTGAGGCAGTTGGCATAGCACACAGAGCCAACATCTCGACAGGAATGATAGTTGCATTCCAAGCCATTCTGGCCGATAAGCTTCAAAGGTGAGCAGCAAGTAAGTGTGTGTGTGTGTATGTGCATGAAGCACAGGAACATCTATCTGGCAACTCAAGCCACCCCCTGGCATCAGAGCCTCTCTGGCAAAGCCGCCCCGCACACCTGGGCTGTCGACAATGGAAACAGGCGCTCCCAGCTATTCAAGTACTATAAATAAACTAACCATGATGTAAGCCTAGGCGTTTACATGATGGTTGCCCCTGGCCTACCTGCAACACTCAACAAACAATGGCACATTGCGAATGGCACATTGAACGGACACAAGGTCTGCCTTTGAGGGCCACATCTGGACCGAAGTTTGTCACAGGTCACCTACGGGCTGGAGAAGGGTTAGCAAGCCGTCTACTGAACCACAATCCTGGGTGAGCTACAACCACCAACTTAAGAGACGCCCAAGAAGGAACCCGGTGACCATCGCGGGTGAGGTCAGCAACCCTCTTTCGGTCACCATAATTTGCCTGGAACTATGCGTGATGGAAGCAAACAAGGCTTCTATATCTCCTGTCCTTTCCTAGAATGCGCAATTTCTGAGATTCTTCTGACTCAGCTCAGTCCCCTTGGTTTCGCCCAACCTAGTCCTGGTTGTAGTTTCTAGCCCATGCTGGTCCTAGTTTGGAGTTAGTGCTTACTGTACATGTCATGTGTTGTCACTTCTGTTGGTCCGGGTTGTCACGCTTCACTCTAATGGCACATGGTATATGTGATGACAAGAACCAATTCCCGTCTTCTTCACATTCTAGTAGCCGGTTACAACAACGGCTTACCTCGGTATAAGTTGCATGCGAGAAGCTGCTGTATCAAATTCCACAACCAGTTGTTCTCACTTACGCAGCATTCACTGACTGTTGCTTGGTGTTGCGCGTGTGAAACGTGGCTGGGGCTTTGGAAAATGATAAGGATGATGGTACGGGCATGCCTGCTTGCATTTCCCACCATCCAAAAATGCGTGTGGCGACTGCTCCCATTCGGTCAGTACCCCATGGCTCAAAGGCCCTCCATCCGATGATCAGGAACCCCCCCCACCCTTGCAGCTGTGTGTTGTTTGGGGCGTCTCTTGGTGATACATACTTCTACAGTTGAGACCCTGACCACCGGAAGGCTCCTCCAGTGGATCTGGCGGATCAAATCCTGCGCTCAGGTCGCATGGCGCATTCCGCAGTGACCAATGGAATTGACCACTGGAACCAACCGAAATACCCTGTGTCACGACCGTGACCATTCAGGTAGCTTACTGGCAACGATTGTCAGCGTACAAACTATTTGCCGCAACTGATGCTGCTCAGTTTTACAAAGAACGGGTCAATGCTGGACATGCACCAAGCATCAAGTGAGCCATGATGATGCTGCAACACGGCAACCGCAAACGATGTGCGTTGCAGTTCGTTGAGGACGCTCAAAGTCATGTGTCACATGTCTTGGAAGCCGCCATAGTCAGCTCCCGTATGGCGATGCTGTTTGCATAGATCACCGCTGCAACAACAAACATCAGGTTTGTTGCTCCCCCAAACAGCTGATCCCGAGCCAATCTGAGCTCACAAAGCAAAGCGGTTTGCCTGGCAAGATCCCTGGCACCAAATGTCGTGGTACCGTGGCCGCATACTAGATGCACCTAGAAAAATGACACATGGGAAAACTTGCCAAAAGGCCATCGGGTAGCGGTTCTCGGTTTGTCAAACCATATCGTTCCTAAAGGTATCTACTTTGGCAGCTCAGGCTCGAAAGTTGCAACTTTTCAGTACAGGTTTTAGAAAAGGACGTACGATTTCGCTTTGGCAGCGGCGCGAAAGTCGCAACCTCTCAATACAAGTAGAGTAAAGGAAACACACTTTACCTTGGCAGCTCCGGCTCGAAAGTCCCAACTTTTCAGTACAGGTGTAGTAAAGGAAGTACACTTTGGCAGCTGCTCATTTCCTTACATAAGGGCTGTCCCGTAGGCAAAACCATGTTTACTCGAGATATCATTTGTGTGTAGCCCGTCGTTCCGGAAGACTTTTGGCATGTTCTACAATGTGTTGGTACTTCACCTCCAGCCCTTTACATATTAGCTCACATAGGCTATAGCATTGAAGCAAAGAAGCGCTGCACAAGAAGCTCATGCATGGCAATTTCTAAAAACTAAGGGAACAACGGCCTGGAGCGCAACACATGTTGAGAAGAGGATGGAATATCCTAGACTCATGAGCATTGTGTAAGGACAGCTGCCAAGGATTCCACTAATCCAAAGTCCACATTTGTCCACAGTTTGATCTTCTGAGACTCTAGAGCCTGCCAGCGCTCAAACGCGAAAGGGTATTACCCTTGAATCGTATGCGCTATCGGGCCAGCATGGAGGTTGGCCCATTGGCTGCCCATTCGACTGTGTTGCCGGACTTGATGATAGTGTTGCAGTTGTGGGGGGTGTTCCAGGGGTGGGTCGCCTTTGTGTTGGTTGACCCTTGAAGAAAATGGTTCACACTTGCGGGGTGAGGAGCGCATGAAGGACACAAATTCTGTCACATGTTGCAAACGGCACAGACACACACACACAAACTATCAAACAAATGCGGACGAAACAGAAATACAATATATTTGCCTTGTTTTTTAGTCCTTGCCACCCCGACTCTCCCACCTGTCCTGCTGGCAGGACCCTAGGCAAAGTGAGCAGTGGGGCAGCTTGAGTTGGCTTGTTCAGGCGTGGTGCGAGAGAAGGCTTTTAGAGCTGGGTCAGCACTAGGAGGGGAGTCCAATTCCCCTCAAAACGCCAAAGCGGTGAGGGTCATAAGCCGGCGAGCAGTGAGACCCAAAGCTGCACAAAGCTTGGGCTTGCGCGTCTACAAAAACACACAGGCTAACAATGCCGCATAGGAGAACGCCAGTTTAACTACAGCTTTCATGGTCCAAACCAAAACCAGCTCTGAATTCGTGCAGCAACACATCACACTGTCCAACGCGTGCATCTGCCCATCCTGAGTCCCAGAACCTGTTGGCATGTGTGCACTGCCTATATTTTCATATATCTAGTACCTGGATCAACTTCAACTTGTGTAAATCAGTCGCACATTTAACACTCTGTCTGCTGTGGCTTTCAACAAGCTTGCACTTGCATTGCGACTGATTGCCCACTGATTTGGACATGTGGGATTCCTTCAAACGTGCTTCATGAAAAAGTAGTGAGCTTTTCAAATATACAAAATGCACAGGGGTATGATCCTACAAATCCGCTAGCATCTGCAATGTCGGCAACCGCATTTCGCGCCTGCGTATGCAGGTGCGCTTCGTGGGTTCTATAGGTCCGTTGTGTGTCTAAGTGTGTGGTGTAGTCTGTGTGTGTGCGAATGCGTGCGCGTGCGAATGCGTGCGTGCGAACCTGTGCTCATGTACACATGGGTGCGTGTGCACGTGGGTGCGTGCGCATATGTGCTTGTATGCAAAGTGCTTGTGCGTGCTTGGGTGCGTGGGTGCGTGTGTGTGGGTATGTGCGTGCGTGCGTGTGTGCATGTGCGTGTGCGTGAACGTGTGCATGGGTGTGCATGTGTGTGTGTGTGTGTCGGCATCTCTGTGTGTTTATGTGGCATGTGTGTGTGTGTGTGTGTGTGTGTGTGTGTGTGTGTGTGTGTGTGTCTGTGTGTGTGTGTGTGGGTGTGTGTGTGTGTGTGTGCACGCGCATGTGTGGGATGCGGCGTTGCGTTCGCGTGCGCGCGGTGTGACCTGTGGAGCACAGTGAGTGTGTGTGTGTGTGGTGCGTTGTGCAAGGTGCGTGTCGCATGGTGTGTGGTGAGTGGCGCGTGTTCGCGCGCGCATATGTTTGCGTGTTCGTATGTCTGTAAGTGCGTGTGTGTGTGTGTGTGGGTGCGTGTATGCGTGTTGTTTTCTTGTTATTTGTTTTCTGTATGTGATTGTGTCCTTGTGCGTTTTTGTGTTTGCGTAGTGTGTGTGTGTGTGGGCGTTCGTCTGCTTTTTGTCTTTATGAATGTGCTTGCACTTTTGCCTGTGCTTGTGTATTGCTGTTTGTGTGGATCTGCGTGTCTCGGCACGCGCCAACCACTCATGCACTTTCTAGGTGTCGTTACTAGAAACCCGTACCAAGGCAAGAAACCGCATCCCTGCAAACAAAGTTTGCACATGAAGGACGGCACTGGGGACCAAGGACCCTTTTCCTAACTGCTCTCAGTTCAATCATCCGTAGCTTGTCAGAGACTAAGTTGTGCAGCAACATTTGCACAAGTTTGGACTTAGGACACAAGTTCCAGCATTTTGGCTGCTTCTGGACTTTGACTTTGACATCATCGCAAACGCACAAAGCAACCTCTTGTGGGGATATGGCCCTACAACTCACCGAGCAGCGCCCCGGTTCCAGTCGTTTGCAGATGAGAAAGGATTTTGGAAAACATCTCTGCTGTCATCGAATCGGGAATGATGTCACAGTGTTGAAAGTGCGGCTTTCACTGTGACAACTGGTGTTAAGGCTGTTTACGCTAAACGGAGCGCCGACAGGAGCCAGGGAAATTATTTTGCACTCCGCCAACAACTCCGATGCAAGTGCACGCATTTTGCGGCAGCCTATGTAGTCGAACAAAGGCACTCAGCTTAGGAGTGGCCAACATTTTCGCCGAAGGCATGGGCGTACGGGAAACGCCATGCAGCCTTGTGGTAGAAATAGCAGCATGGTAATGCAACTTGGAAGTGCCACTCAGGTCCTCTGTGCCTTCTAAGAAAGGTTCACTTCCCATACCCTGATTCTCAGCGAAGCATACTGGCTTTTATCTCGGCATGAGTTTACGTTGCGCATTGTGAGCGATGCTGCTTAACAACGGCTGTCGTACTACAGTTGTCTAGAATGCATACAATCATGCATCCCATGTTCAGGTTTCTTTCTGCACAACACGTCAGTGCCATGCCCATCCATCCCTATCAAACAGCCATGATTTGGAGGGTTCATCCGCTCAAGCTGGCACATGCCCATCGACTTCTCTCCTCAGCCAATCTTCTCAGTCGGTGGCCCTGGCTAAGTGCAGAGGCAGGTCCTTTAGGAGATGCGACCACAAGGTAAGAGCCAAACCACTAGATTATGGCACAACACTCAAGCACACTGGAACTAGCTCCCGAGTGTGCAAACCAACAACAAACACATGCCGGAACCGTAAGGAAACACCCTCTGAGCAAGCAAGCAACAACGCCGAAGGCACACTGACAAAGCGTGACAATCATCCGTGGAACAAACAAGCAATATGTGCTCCAGCTTTCTGAGCTTTCCAGTGGAAGTGATTACTTTGAAGAAAACTCTGCTTGAGGACCCTAGCTGGGCAAAGGAGAGTCTCGCAGCACATACGCTCACATGATATATGTATGATAGTGTAATATCTATAACACGTTTTACATATATATATATTGGTGATGTGTATATATATATACATATATATAATTTGTATGTGCGTATATTCATGTTCATATGTTTTTTTTTGAAAAACCAGATTGCTTTCTGTACAAAAGCAATGAGCATTTCCTCTGAGGTCATATAGTTTGAGGGCCTGTTGCTTTTGCAGAGCAACTAACAAATTTCATACATAACTTCAACATGTAACATTTCCTGGCAAAATGGAACTTTGTCTGTTGTGAATACCCTGCGTCAACACTTGAGCAATCAGCAGCCGACGCAAGCCTACGTCTGTGTGCATTTGTGCGTGTGTGTTTTTGCTTTTCAGGGTAGCCTTATTGGGGCTGGCTCAAAGGGAAACCAAGGGAACACTGCCATTTCGGTGCGTCATACCCGCATGGGTGTGGGTCAAAATCAAACAACCAGGGGACCGCAGGTTTTGGTCCATGTTGCCACTTGCCAGGGTTCAGTTTTGGGCCTTGGGGTTACCCTATGTTTGACCCACAGCCACACCAATTCCGCCCCTGGAACCGCACCCCGGCCGCTCGGCCGCTCGGCCTGGCCACTGCAGGCGCGTGGGCTCCGGGGGCGGCGGCAGCCGCCGCTTGGCCCAGTACCCGAAGCTGCCGCGGCCCAGTGGCACCGGCGGCAACAAGAGCCGCTCCTCAGGTGGAGGTCGGGGAGCACATGAAACTTAGAATTGGGTGTACAACTTATTTGCAATTCCGGCACTGCAAGGTGGGAGAAGTGTGTTTTCTTCAGAGGAGGGGGGCTGAACGT